ATTTTTTAGAGCTGAATTTCTTATAAAAAAAACCCAAAATAATTTTTTGTGTGTGATCTCACCAGGTTCTACAACAAGCTGGCCAGGTTTGGTTCCCAGATTCTGCATTTAAAACGGCTCAGGCAATTTGTGACTTCAATCGTGAACGTCTGCCTCTGATGGTGTTTGCCAATTGGAGGGGCTTCTCTGGAGGAATGAAAGGTGCCTTTCTTTTTTCTTTTAAAGATACAAAGTATGAAGTGGAGGACTATAGTTCAAGATTTCAGCATTTTTCCCTGTGATATATTTAGATTGAACTGTCTTAAGAAGCAACACTGATTACACTACTTACTGATCACAAATTGCAAGACACATTCAATAATGGAGTGATTCTGCAGGTGGGGACCACAGAGAGGTTCTCAGTACCTATGCTTTCTGGCTGATGTTTTGGTCACTATTGAATGTTGAAGGTGTTTTCACAAATGTGGTAACATGAGATGGACTCTACAACCCACACAAGTGGCTCAGGTAATACAGCTCATCCAGGATGGCTCATCAATGCGAGCCATGGAACAAAGATTTGCTGTATCTGTCAGCGTAGCATCCAGAGGTTGGAGTCGCTACCAGGAGACAGGCCGGCACACCAGGAGACATGGAGGAGGCCGTTGGAGGTCAACATTCCAGCAGCAGGACCGCTAACTCTGCCCTCGTGCAAGGAAGAACAGGAGGAGCACTTCCAGTGCCCTGTAAAAGGACATCCTGTAGGCCACAAATGTGCATGTGCCTGCACAAACAGTTAGAAACTGACTCCATGGTGTGAGAACCTGATGTTAACAGTTGGGGGTTGTCCCCAGCCCCACACCTTGCAGGATGCTTGGCATTTGCCAGAGAACACCAGGATTGGCAAATTCACCACTGGCACAATATGCCCCTAGATGAAAGCCGGTTCACACTGATCACATTTGATAGAACTGACAGAGTCTGGAGACGCTATGGAGAGCGGACGTTGCCTGCAACCTCCTTCAGCATGGCCAGTTTAGCATTGGGTCAGTAATTTTGTGGGGTGGCATTTCATTGGAGGGCCACGCAGCCCTCCATGTGCGTGCCAGAGGTAGCATGACTGCCATTGAATACAAAGATGAGATCCTAAGATCCATTGTGAGACCATAAGCTGGTGGGGTTGGCCATGGGTTCCTCCTAATGCAGGACAATGCTAGACCTCAATGTGGCTGGTGTGTTTCAGCAGTTCCTGTAAGGTGAAGATATTGAAGCCATGAACTGGCCCGCCTGTTGCCCAGACCTGAATCTGATCAAGCACATCTAGGACATCATTATTCTATCCATCCACCAATGTTATATTGTACCACAGACAGGAGTTAGTGGAGGCTTTAGTCCAGGTCTGGGAGGAGATCCCTCAGGAGACCATCTGCCACCTCATCTGGAACATTCTCAGGCATTGTAGGGAGGTCATATAGGCACATGGAGGCCACACACAACACTGACTCATTTTGACCTGTTTAAGGGACATAACATCAAATGTGGTTCAGCCTGTAGTGCGTTTTCCTACTTATATTTGTGTGTGACGCAAAATCAAGGCCTCCGTTGGATTTTTGTGATTTTTTTTTTTTGTCAGCCCATTCAAAATTGTACAGAACAGCAATTTCAATTAGAATGTTTTATTCATTCAGATCCAAGATGTGTTATTTTGGTGTATTTACATGTAACCTGTATTAATCAAGGTATATCGAATTGATATTAAAAATCTCTTTTTCAAGAAAGACCTGGCCAAGAACTGCACAGATGATTCCAAACAAAAACTGCAGACTTGAAAACACATTTTAGGTACAATTCTGGCTAAAAAAAAAAGAACAAATAAAATAAATAAATAAAACTAAAGCATTAGATATTACATTAGTCGGATCAGTTGTTTTTCAGTCTTTCTGTGCAGATTATGATTGCCCGTTTACAAACTGGGTTGTCTTTTAGCACATTATGTAACTTCTTTTGCTAATATGCTTTCTGGATGTTACTCAAGTTATATTTTAACTGTTTGGTTATTTTAATCTGAGTAGGATAATAATCTCTGGCTCTAGAAGATGATAAACCCAAAGATAGACATGAGGACTGGGGAACACCCTTGGAATTTCCTCTGTAATAAAACACTGCTGTTTATCAGAGAGACATTGTCTCAACTGTAGACAACTTCTTTTTTTTATTGTACCAGAGGCAAGAGGTCAGCTTTATGAAAGACAAGCCTTTTTAGATTATTTATTATTAGATCACATTATTGGTAAACCTTCGATTTGTTGTCTGCAAGAAACACCAATGTAGCATTTATATTTTCTCAATAAAGGTTACTGTGTCTATAGTCTACATACATGCAGTCCTCATGCTGTAAGAAAAGTGAACCAAAAGTAACTTTGCAAACATTCACAGTTTGGGCTACAAATTTGTGCAGGTGATTTAAAGTTGTTGTTTTTCTTTTTTTTTTGCAGATATGTATGACCAGGTCTTAAAGTTCGGGGCCTACATTGTGGATGCATTGCACAATTTTCGGCAGCCGGTGTTGGTGTACATCCCACCCCATGCTGAATTGAGAGGTGGGTCCTGGGTTGTTATAGATCCCACCATCAACCTGCTGTGTATGGAGCTCTACGCTGACAGAGAGAGCAGGTATAGAAACTCTAAATTGTGATTTCATACAAAGGAACTGCCGTGCATGATTCCAAGAATATTCCACTTTTTTTGGTCATTCTTCTTTGATTAAGAGGAGGCGTGTTGGAAGCAGAGGGCACAGTGGAGATTAAATTCAGGAGGAAGGACCTACTGAAGGCAATGAGAAGACTGGATTCAGTCTATGCCGGTCTAGTTGAGCAACTCGGTAAAGTATTTTTCTGTCTCTAAATACAAAAATGTTTTAATTTTCATATTTTGAAAGTGTTAATGTTCAGATCTTTAAGGTGCAAGACCTTTTTCTTCTTATTCTAGCATCATTGGATTGGTCAGACAAAGAAATCAAGGAGTTGGAGGAGAAGCTCAAAGCAAGAGAAGAATTCCTGTTGCCTATCTACCACCAGGTGGCGGTGCAGTTTGTGGATCTGCATGACACTCCTGGCAGAATGCAGGAGAAAGGGGTCATCACTGTGAGTTGAGGTTTTTTGTAAAAACCATAGAGGTTTAAAAATCTTAAGAGGAGGAAACTTTTTAAAGTTGAAATTTGACACTTTCACAGGATATTTTAGACTGGAAACAGGCGCGAACCTTCTTCTACTGGCGCCTTCGACGGCTCCTGTTGGAACAGGTGGTCAAGTGTGAGATTATGGAGGCCAATAAGGATATGAGCGATGGGCACATGCAGTCCATGCTGCGGAGATGGTTTGTTGAAACGGAGGGAACAGTCAAGGTGTGTGATTTGCTGCTCATAAAGAAAATCACCCAGCAGAAAAAAAAAACACAAACTATGGAGAAAATAAATGTTTTTTCTATGTTATTATATGAAACTGAACTGAACTTATAGCTGTCTACTTTTATAGGCTTATCTTTGGGATAACAACCAAGCAGTGGTGGAGTGGCTTGAGAAGCACTTGTCAATGGAGGACGGCACACACTCAGCCATTCGAGAAAATATTAAGTACTTAAAAAGAGAGAACGCTTTAAAGCACATTCGTAGGTATGTACAAGCCTAAGTTTCATCTATGCAACAGCTTACAGTGCCTTTAAAAAGTATAAAATCTTAGGTTACAACCTATAACGTCAAAGTATTTTATTGTGTTTTTATATAAAAGACTACTGCTTGTGAAGCAGAAAAAAATTAGACAGTTTAATAATAAAAATCAGAAAAGTGAGCCATGTGTAGATATTCAGCTCCCCTCTCTGAGTTATTTGTAGTATAACCTTTACCTTTAATTATGTCTAAATCTTCTAAGAGTTTTTTTTCCCCCCTTTGCCAAATATTTACCTTAGTGGGGGCAGAAAGAGGATGCAATCCTCCGGTGCATTGTGGGTTGCAGAGGCCATGCTGCTTTAGTTTACCATGCTGATTTTAAATGCCTCACTCTGACATGCAAAGAGCTTAACAAAGAACAAAAGACAAAGGTTACGGACTGCACCCAGACAAGCTAGACCCTTTTCCAAAGGTTCTCTATCAACAAAAGGTATTTAGTATATTTTGAATTTTTCCATTGGAGCATAATAACTTCGCTGAGTTACCGTATTATGCTGAGCTGAGATTGTTTTCTATCTCTTCAATGGAAATAGTTTTTTATACTGGTGAAGGATTCAGAAATGCAAAGTTCTTAAGGGGTCATGGACAAAGCAACTCAGATTTTTGTATATTGGTACTTTATGCATGTCTGTTCTCCACAAGTATTCCACCTTTTTATTTGACATTGTTGTTCTTGTGTGCAGCTTGGTGCAGGCCAACCCTGACATAGCCATGGACTGCATCATTCATATGAGCCAGAACATTGCTCCCTCCCAGAGGGCCACATTATCACACTTGCTTGCCACGATGGACACCAGCAGTTCTGACACCAGTTGAGCTCTGGGATTTTATCAGCCATTGAAGAGAACAAATACTCCTTTTTTTTTTAAGTTTATTGTACTGTTGAAATGTGTAAGCACAAAATCACCCAAGTGTTGAAAGGCCCAGGAGCTAAAACTAATAGAATGTAGACAAGAATTTCAGGGCTGGAATACTGATGTTCCTTTTGTACCAAAAAAAAAAGAAAAAAAAGAAAAGCACATTTAAACAGTAATGGAAAATCTGTCCTGTTGAGCTGCCTTTTCATGCTCGTCATAATCCAAAGCTTTGACAGTGTATTGAATGTTTGAATGAAGAAATTAGAAATTTCACCTGTTTAGTCCTGGAAGCCTTCCTCTCTACTCGGCCTAACACTGTAATGCACTCCTCACTTTGCTGTATTAAGTCCATATGTTGTCAATCACTTAATGACTTAAGTTTTGCCTTATTTCATTGTGTGCAGTGTATTGGGGCTTTATGAAATGATATTATTTTTGTTTGCCCCCCAGTTATAATTTCTATTTAAAGTTATAACAGAACTTGTATGTTTGTCTTTTAATATCAGCTGTGAAAAATAAGCTCAGTCCATCCCACACATTGCTCCTGTAAGCAAACCACTTCCTACCCTGGCACATTGACACACCTTTTTTTTATTTCTCTCTTTAGTAAATGTGTTGCTGAATTAAGATGAAAAGACTCAGTGATTACAGAACTGACTCTGATTCTTAATTCCATTTGGACTACTTAACTTTTGTGAACTATGACAAAATAAGACTGATCAAGAGATCCTTGATAAAGCCAAAAAAGAATGCTCTGGCAGATGGATATTATTATTGTAGAAATATTGTCACAATCGTTTGACTGCAGGAGGAAATAGAGTTGTGCAAACTACATTAAATCACGGAATTTTATAGTAGCAACAACATTACCTGGATTAATATAAAGGTTTACAGTGGAAGCTGGTCCTTTTTAGTATCAGAATTGGACTAAAAAACAAACAAAAAAACATAAGTACAAGAATATGAAATGCTGAAGGAGTTAGTATGTGTTTTCATTACTTAGTTTTTTATTATCTGCTCTACATTTTTTCACTAATTTAATGCAAAACTGTGTAAGTCATATATAGATTACTGGTATATGAATTCTGCTGTTGCTATATTACATTCTTTATTACTATAGCACCCAGCTCATAAAAACAAAATTTAGTTTGTAAGGAAATTTTGATGCAAATATTCACTGCAAAAACTAGAAATAAGTACAAATTTCTTAAATTAAGTGCATTTACCTATGATTTGAGTAGGTAAATAAGATGATTTGGCAATTGGAATGAGGTGTATTACTCTTAAAATAAGATTATATGCACTTGAAATAAGACAATAGTTTTTTCTTATTTTGCAAATTGTCTATTCCATTGGAAAATTGTCATACTTATCTTCTCAATTCAAGAAAAAAAAGCCCTTGTTTTAAGAAAAAAATAAAATACTAATTTCAATTTTTGCAGTGTTATATTTCTACACAATTATGTGGAAGACTGATAATTGCAGGGTCATCCAGCAGACAGTCCATTTAACCCTTCATGTTGAGGTTAAGCCTTCAAAGGGCTGGAAAATTAATTGCATTGGCATTATAATTTCAGTTACAAAAACACTATTTTCAAATCGTAGATGCAATCAATTTTAGTCACATTACATTTAACAAGACTAAGACACTTAATTTTTCCCTTGAGCCTTTTAGGTGGTGGTAATACACCTAAAATGGGTATGCTGCCGCACAGAATGCAAAAGTTACAGTTAAGTCCTGTAACAGTGGGCTCATTGACAAGTAAGCTTAAACCCTTGAGTAAAAACATCCTCAGACTTTTGCTTTGTGCAAAGGAAAATTGCAATAAAATTGCTAACGTGATATTGATTGGAAATAATCGCAATTGGATTTTTGGCAAAATTGTTCAGCCCTAAAATGTAATTATTAAAAAAGGTTGGCTATATATAAAGTTGATTGTAAGGTAAATGTATGGAAGAAAATGTAAAATACACCACAAAGAGAGACATGGAGAACATCCGCCCCATTCTTTGATTTGAGCCACTCCTGAATCAGGGACAGTTTATGTCTCACAGAGGAGTCAAATGCACTGAAGGATGTTCCAAAGTCATCTTTCAGTTGAAAGCAAAATTTAGCATTTTGTTTAAAACTAAAGCAGTCTTGAGCAAAGGTGGAGAGGCACCGAATCCAAGTTCCTTAAGGCTCAGTTTGCAGTTTGCTCAGTCAATAATGATTTGGAGACTTATGTCTTCTACTAGTATTGAACCAGGGTGTTTTCTGAAGTCGCAAGTCAGAGCAGCTGTCTGCAAATGTTGAAGAGTTTTATGCTTTTCTCTGCAGACAGGGCTTTGGGAATTGTTGATTTCATTGCCCAACAGGACTGGGCACCTATCCTCACAACCGATTATACCAACACCTGCTTAAATGACATATCACTGTGCAACTGGCCTGTCCTAAGCTCCACTGAGAACCAGTAGATTTTAATGGCATAATGTTCATCTCTCATATTTTAAGAAGGCTAAAACTCAATGTTGCTTTATATATCAGTGATTATGGGTCTTGAAATGGCTAAACAAACCATCCCGGGCCTGAAAGGCTTCCCCACATATAGGAGATCTGTTGAACAGCTAATGTTGATATCCAGGTCTAGGAAGAATACTTTATGGCAGTCCTTAAAGGGCATTTTTGCCCTAAAACTGTCTCCATGCCTTGGAACAGTTGTCGAAACAGTAGCTTGTTTGGCAGTTTAATAGCAGATAGATGGAACCAGAGCTATGAATGCTGATAAGCTAAATGATTCCATTAAAGCAATCTGGGCTTCATCATCACCTCAGCATATTTATAGGACGACTGCCTCCATGCTACGCTGTATGCAGTAATTGATGCAAAACGAGCCCGAACCAAAGATTGAATCCAGTTCATGGACAAGCTTTTAATATGCAGATATTTCTGATTTCAAGAAAAATTTTTATTGACCTATTGATATTGTAATTATCTAAGAAACAGAATTATAATTTAAAAAATCTGTATGCCACAATCAAATTTGAGAAATAAATGCTTGAAATATACCACTATTTGTAAGAAACACCAACATATTAGTTAGTAGTTTGGCTGGTTTAATGGAATTACTGAAATAACAACCTTATATTAGACTTTACTGAGATGCACTTAAAAGTGTAAAAGGCTTGTTATTGTGAAACTGTATGGGATGCTCCTAATAATTTATTTTATTTTCAGCATCTTTACAATGAAGTTCCTGAAAATCCAGTTTTTTTTTATGTTTATCAAGGCAAATAGCAAATCAAACATCTTCATTTCAGAAATGTAAATCATAAGGTGGAGGAGCACCAAGTACAAGCTGACTTACTGGGTGTGTTTTGGAAAGATGTGGGTTACACCAAATTCAAACAATTAAATATATACAGCAAAAGATTGATAGAGTTATCATCGTCCCCAGCTGTCTTTTATAAATATAAATAAAACATCACAGCAATAAAGTCTAGCACAATACAACAGACAAGAGTTTTTGAGCTACATCACAGAACGGAGAACAATAGAGGAACAGGTAAGAACTAACTTCCATGCAGTTCTCCACACACTGTACTTATAGAAGTTTCCAGTCTTTGCTTGGCAAAACTAAAGATTTCAGGTCTGACTTTTTTTTTCAAGTCATATGTGGTTTTAGTTCCTAGAAATCAGTTTAATTGTTAAAAAAAAAAAGTTTCCGTCAAGGTTCTCCAAGTTCCTAGAACTTTCACTTCTTCGTAAATAATCCCACTTTGTTAGCTGCCATCCAAAAATTGGGAAGAACGAAAAAAGTTGATTATTAGGAAACAGTTTGGCCTTTTTAAAGCAGGGCAATGGGTTTGCTGTTGGGTTGGCTGCCCATGTACTGGGAGGACAGGGGATCCTGTGAGGTGTATGAGGTGTACAGCCCCGTCACTTGCACATCTGACAGCGACCCGCTCACTCCATTGGAGGCTGGAGGGATCGCTGATCCCAAGTCACAGTCTGAAAGTCGCAGAGGGGAGTTACTGAAGGTGCCCAAAGCATCCAGGTTAAAGCTGTCATCTTTCATTTCTTCCCACAAGTTCCCTGAAAAGCATTAGTTAGGGTGTTATTGCCATGAATAATCAACAGTTTGGTTATTATAAATTAATTTATGAGTAAATGGAACAAAATAATATTATGGTGATTTGTAACATTTAAATCAAAAATATAAAGATTGGAACAGAAAAGTAATAAATTGAGAAACTAGATTTAATAAACGTTTAAACCATATACTATTAGTTGAAAAAAACTGTTTAAACTTAATATGAATATAGTGATATTACTGGTATATTTTTGAAAAAGTTTATAAAATTACTGTAATTCTGAAATTATAATTAATTCTCTACTCATTTGAAATGGCTGTAAGACTAAAAGTTAGGTGGTCTGAAACTGTCATGCTGTTGATAAAGGAGGGAATTCATGCTTCTCTGCTCATTAGTTGTAGGACCAGTTTTTAGGAAAACTATAAAATATTCAATGCTGTGCAACTTTGGATTTTCTTATATGTTTTTCCCACCTCAGCCTATCTAATAGCAATAGATACATGGGATAAATAAAGCTCTGTTCATAATTACTTTAACATTTGTATTAAATCTTTCAACCTATGTTTCATTTAGTATATATTTAATTCATTATGTTTTAAAGCCTTACCACAAATGATTACAAAATATCTAACAGGCATATTATTGTTTTAACATACAACAAATTCATGTATGAATTAATTGTTTTAAAAATTAATCTTTAAATCATGTTTTTGATTTGACTTTTTAAGTTAATTAAACTATTAATTTTCTTTTTTTTTTTTTTGAATTTAGGTAATATATTCAACCCCGCCTCTCACCCACAGACTCCGGAATATAAGGACCAACCTCAATGCGACCCTGACAAGGACTAAGCAGGAATGGACGTATAAACCAACATTTGTTTTTTTTGGAAAAGGTTTAATATTTTTTTTACCTTGAAAGGCGAAGTCCATGATGCTGGGGTCCAGTGCATCCACCTCTGTGTTTGTATCACTCTGCACACTGTAAAAATCATCAGGAGGCTTACTGGGCTGCTGGGTGAGTGGACTGTGGGAAAGGTCAGGGACCGTGTGGAGGGGGGGCGTCTGGGCCGGAGCAGGGGACATGGGGCCCAGTCGGGCCTGAGCCTGGAGTTGAGCTTGAAGCTGGTGGTGTTGGTGCATGGGCAAACATGGCAGAGACAGTGTGACGATGGGTGGAGGTTGCATCTGTGCAGGCACAGACAGAGGGAGACCAGTTGTGCAGCCAGCCAGCCGGGTCATGCCGGGCTCCAGAGGCTTCCGTCTGCAGTTTTCTGGGCGGTCTGTGATCAGTTTGTCCAGCTCGTCTGGAGGAAAGCAGAACAGACTGTCAGACTAAGTTGAAAACATGTTTTAAAGTTAAAGTTTCTGAATAGATTTTTCTGACCTGGATTTGCCATGCTGCGGCGAATAGCTGGGAGATCTTTGCGTTTCCACTTCTGCATCTCTTCCTCCATCTTGTCAATTTTGGCAGGGTTCAGCGCCCACAGGCAGCCCTTACGGGAAGAGCTGCTCGTCTTGTTTTCCACCTTCTCAAAGCATTTATTTAAGGAAAGGTTGTGTCTGACTGAATTCTTCCAACCATCAGGTGCAGTCTGTTAAAAATCAACGTATTACACAATTAATTGAATTTTTATTGCTAACATGACAGTACCTTATTTTCACTCAGTGTCTATTACGGTAATAATATAAAGAAAAATCAGACCTTGAAATATGGAAAGTGTTCCTTCATAAAGCTATAGATCTCACTGACAGGGAGGCTTCCAGTTTTGCTGTTCTTTAAAGCCATGGCAATCAAACAACTGGAAGAAACGATACGAGTGGAAGTTTGTTTAAAATAGATCAGATTAATGAAGAGATCTATGAGGCTATTTTGTGTATTTGCTCACCTGTAGGAGTAAATTGGTTTGGGGAAAGATTTGGGCTGCAGGTCCTGTTCTTGTGGGGCCAGACGAGGTTGTGCAAAAAGACTTTGGTTGTTGAAAGACACATTGCTATAAAGTCCACCTGCTGAGCACTAAACCAGAGAAGAGAATGGAGAAGCTTTCAGTCTTTCATACAGTCGAGGATTTAAAACAGCAACATCTTTCTTTGTAAATATGTTTATAATTTGGCTGTTGACATAAAGTTAAAATCAGATTTTGGCACAAAGTCAATTAACCCACTCAAAAAATAAAATAAAACAATTTAGTCTATAAATTAAGTTGCCTAATTCTGTTAGGTGATAAAAAGGATATAGAAAAATAAGAAAAAAGGGGACAAAAAGCAAAGAACAGCCTAAAATCAGTTGATGTTTAGAAGCCAGTCTTTACTCTTATGAATGCCCATTTGTTTCAGCTTGTTTCATCTTAATGGACAGTTAAAAGTATCTTTTTTGGAAAACATAATGATGGCATTATCTACGGACTTTTTTAAATGCTTCAGTGAGGAATAGTTGAGCCATAATCCTGTCTTTAAAGAAAATCTATTCACTATAAACCAGATGCTCCTGGTGAAGTTTAAAAAAAAAAGGAGTCAAAAGAAAAAAATAGCCAAAAAAAGTTTTTTGTTGTTTTTTTTTTAACTTATCACTTTTCTAATAAAACAATAAGTAATGCTCTGTATGCTTATTTGCTGCACAAGACTCCTCTGCTGAGGAAACAGCTCATTTAAGCATGTTGAAAGGTTCAGGCTGAATGTTTTAACTCATAACATTTTAGAATATAGTCAGAATGCTTTTATTCATTTGACAATCTATTAAAATAATGCATAGATCATAGTAGAGAACCCAAAAAATGTTAGCATTTAAAGAAAGTTTGAGTGACTGGATGTCGAAATCAGAACAAAGACCTGTGTGTGGTTAGTTTTAGCAAACAGATGTGTTTATGTTGTCATTAACAAGAAAAACTTGTAAACAGGTATTGTTTACATTTCCTGAAGTGTGTTGATAGCTCTTTTCCCCGCTGACATTTCATTTATTACATATAATTTCATGTAAAGAATTCTTTTAAGTATTGCTATGTGATGAGTTTTTTTTTTTTTTGAAAAACAAGAAGAAGTTTTAGGTGTACTGAGAAAAATACTGAAATTTCAAAGTTTATTATGAAAATGGTATTTAACATATTAATAAGTCCTTGCATAGAGTCTCACCTGTTGTCCATTTTGGGTGAGAGAGTACACCTGCTGAGATGCAGGCTGGTATACTGAGGTAGGACATTGATATCCAGGGGAAGGCAGCCCATTCATGGAGAAAGGAGACATCTGGGAAACCAACACAAGCTCATTTTTAACAAAGCTATGCACCATAAATATGACCTTTTATTCATGTTGTGCTGTGATTACTCACACTTCCACTGTGGGTGTTTATTATGCTGATACCCAGGGGGCTGTGCTGCATGTTGCTCTGAAGGTGCAGCACGGAGTTCTGGCTGACTGGTATCGTCATGTTATTTAGTTGAGCTACACAGAAAAGGTTCAAATAACAGTCCCATTAAAAAGTGCCTATTCATCCAGGTGCTAGTGCTCTTTCCAGTTTCCAAGAACCAACACACAGACAAATAGAAAAGTAATAAAATAGAAAATCAGCTTTGACTATTTTGAGTATTCTGCTACGGTGAATTAAGTAGGGAAATGAAATGTAGCTCCACAAATCTGTCTTTAAAATCAAATATAGTTGGTTCACTGGAAATAATCGAAAGCTACATAAGTAGTTTTTTCTTAAAATAATGGTATTTTTTTCTTGGATTGAGGAGATAAAAGATACATTTTGCCAATGGGACAAGACAATTTACACTTAAGAAAAGAAAACACATTGCATTGTCGTATTTCAAGTGCATATTATCTAATTATCTTATTTTAAGAGTAAAAATACTCATTCCATTGGCAAACTATCTCATTTACCTACTCAAATTAAGGATAAATACACTAAATTTAAGAAATTTGTACTTATTTCTAGATCGTTTTTCCAGTGTTGGATGTTGAGCAAGTGTATCTTATCAAAACTATGCATAAACTGTTCAGCCTTCATATTGGTTAAAATAATATAATGCAGGAAAAACCCACACTGTTATTCGATTTGATCATTCATGGAATCTTATACCTATTGCACCAATAAAATTGAGGTAGAACTGATATACAGTTTTCGTTTAAAATGATTAATATCTACAAAATCCTGCAACAGTTTTGTCTCCCTCGTTACTTCACTGTAACCTTTTCAGACCTACTATTTTCAGATGAATGTTTTATAGTTCCGTATAAATGCATTCTGTACTTAGGATTAGTTCTTACTATTGCTCCATCTGATTCACACTTTTGTAAACATTTGTTTTGGTATTATGTGGTTTATTCCATGGCAAAAAAACAAATATAGTGCAGTTTAAAGATTAAACTAGTTTATAGTACCAAAAAAGTGCTTCCCAAAGAAAATTTACAGCTCACACAATAGATCAGCAGATATATGTTTTGAGATGTTTGATGGATTTTTATCCCTTTTTGGAATCATGATTTTGGCAGTGATGACTGGCTTAATTACTCATTTCCTTCACCTGTCCAATTCTGCCCGGTTGCTCATTACTGCTCCTCTGATTCACCTGCTCCTGCCTCTATTTAAGGCGCTTGCTCCAGTTAGCCATTGCTGAGAGCGTTTTTAGTGTACCTGAGTGTTTCTGATTACCTGATCTTGACCTGTTCTGCCTCTCAACCTCTGAGCCTGCCCGTTCCCATCTGAATGGTTTGCCTAAACTGTCTTTGGACTCCTGGCTCTCTGAGCCTCCCTGTTCCTGTTCTGATCTGTTTGCCTGACCAGGCTTCAGACTGCTGCATGTTCTCTGGGACTGCAGCATCTGGGACACCCTGGGTGTTGCCCACTGCATCTTGTTGGCAGCCCACTGGTTGGATCCTAACTCGTTCTCTGGCTATGGACTGAACCTTTAAACCTTTAAACCAGGTTAGTGACAGGTTAGTGATTCATAATCTTCTTCCTTTAGATTTACTTGGTCACTAACCTGTGTTTTCCTCTCTCCAGAGTTTCCTCCTTCAGACACCCTAGCCGCTGCTACTGAAGATCTGCAGCCCCTCATTTTAATAAACTCTTTTTGAATATCCCACTGTCTGTCTTACCTGAATACTGGGTCCTCTGTTCTGAGTCGTAACATTTGCTCATAATAATCATTATTATTATTTGTTGTTGCAATTTTTTACTTTACAATAAAATCAGTCCTCTGCACTTAATCCCCCCAAAGGAGAACAGTGGGCAGCCATTGTGCAACATCTGGGGTGTATTTTTAGGCTTGTTTTGACCTCAGGTTTAGGTTTCCCACTCACTGTAAGGTTTAAAGTTAGCCCTTAGGGAAGGTGATTAAATTAAAATATCGATAAAGAGGGCATTAAATTAGGTTTATGTCTAATGTCCACAGACTTTAGGTTTCCTCCAAAGCTTCTAGTCTAAAAATTTCTGTGTTTGAGAACTTTATTGGCAAACATGAAAATTATCAATTAATCAAAGAGCAATGTTCAAACATCTCCACCAACAGCAGTCAGAAGTCATTTATGCAAAACGGCTAGAAATAAAACTATATTCAGGATTGACTATTTAGTCAAAGAGAATCTGGTTAAATTATCTGACTTCTGATGTGCACTTCTGGATTGTAAAAATGGCAGTGTGCCTCAGAAAATGACAAAGGTAGCCAAAGTCCTACCAAAGACAAATGGTTTTAAAAAGGCATTTTAAAAATTTTTGGTTGGATTAAAAACTTTTTAAAAACAATTTTCAAAGTTAAGTTCTTGGAAAGATGCTATTAAGGAAACCTGAGTTGTTTCATATTTTTGCTCTGCTCTTCTGTAATACATGGCCAGTAGAAGCCTAAAATAATTTGAGGCTGGAGCTCTCAAATTAAATTTCTTTTCACACCCTCCTGGATAAAGGGGAATATCAACAGGTGCATTGATAAGGCAAACATTGGTAATTTTAGCTCACCAAACCTAAAACATTATGATTTTGTCGTTAAAACAACAAACTTTAATGCATTTCTTATGAGATACTTTGCACTACAAATATTTAAAACAGTAAGAGTTGTGATTTTTGTTTTTCTCCTGCTCACCTCTCCTTCTCATCTGCTTACATATAGAAACATGAACAGTGTCCAGGGATCTGTTATTTTTGTTAGCCATGTGTTGCTGCATACTAGATGGTCTGTCAGGGTATTTAGCTAAGCTGTGTATCTCTGCAGCTCCTCCAGAGTTACCATTAGCTTCTGTCTGTAATTCATGCTCTCCTCTAGCTGTGGATTTAGATGAATTCCCATTCCATGGTGGGGTCATAGTTTTGGCATATTCTTTCTCATATTGTTATACTCTTATTGTATGTTGCTTTAAACTCGTCCACATCCTTATTCCGCCTGTCACACCCCTATGAGACCTTCACTGAACAGCTGGTTTTATACTGAGATGAAATAACACAAATATGGACTTTATTTAATTTGCACAGTGGCTTCTTCTGTTAGCACTGGATCCTGTTAAATTAAAGATGGCTAAATTCAAAAGCCTATCCAAGGATATGTTTATGTGTAACAGTTTTGATTAACCTTTTTGATTTTGTATTTTGTAGATCTGTGAAATACTTCGAATTTTGAGGCTGTAATGTGAGAATAAAAAAAGAAAGATAATCTTTTTATCTTGATTTCCCCCCTACAATAGAATAGATTACATCTGTCCTGATTTATCCAACCAGAGAGCTGTTGCAGTTTTCAAATATTGCCCCCCTCACCTGTCTGTTGCTCCAGCAGGCTGCCCTGGGAGGGCCCATTGCTGTGTCCTCTGCTATCAACCATCTGCTGTAGCCTGGGCACATCCACTGAGGTGAGCCATGACAGGGACTGCAGGTCCCCAGGGAGGTCCTCCACTCTCAGCTGGGAGGGGTCTGTGGTCAGAAGCCTTCAAGAATGGAGGGAGGGGGGATGGAAATGAGGTTTGCGAGGTTAACTCAACTGTCAGCTTAGACACACATAGATCAGAAGAGGGATTTTAAATCAAAACACTTGAATAGAGTTCCTTTTTATCTCAAAAAGACAAAAGCATCTGATAGGTTATAATGGGGGGAGACAGAGATGAAAGCCGCTGGGTAAGGCCCTGTTTTAGCAATTCAGGATTAAGCATAAGAAGATTAAACACAAGTGTTGTACAGAAGTGACAGTTTTAATCAGCAGTAAGGTAGTTAAATAAACTCTGTTTAAATTATAAAATACTGTGACTTTATTAACTACGTGGACTTTTTTTGTCTATTTGTCTCGGACCTTAGATTCATTACATTTTAATTTGTTTTTCACTCTTAGTATTTTCAAAGAATGATTTACATTTCTTGCATAAAATGTAAACGTAGTGGATTATTGTTTAGTTTGACCGCTCAGCCTACAGTATTTCTTTTAAATAGAAAAGCTTGAAGAAAACTAATGAAAGGTGAGGAATCCTCTTGAATCCTCTTCAGCCTTCTCAGGAAACACACCAAGTTCTGCAGTTCCAGTCTCTATGACAACATATACAATTCAGTTATTCACTGGGTCTGTGGACAGTGGAGAGGTACACCCCCCTCTTCATCTAGACACACAGCGTAACTTCTGATAAAAAAAAAAAAAAATTGGTCCCATGTCAGGTGACTACGTTCGCGCCTCACCCATTGGCTGAATCATAAGTAAACAACACATGAGATCGTTTGAAACATGGTACGGCGGCACATGTTGCCTGAAACAGTTGGCCCCATCTATTGAAAAATGATCACCTATTGTGTCCCAAACGACAAATCTGCCCAGTGGCACGTGTCTCTATTGTCTTCCCAGGAGCCTTCCTTAATTGTCTCTGTCATTTCTTTTCTTTATGCGGCCCCTTGCATTAATCTGCTGGAATGACAGCCCTCACATAGAGGGACAAATAGGATACCATCTGCTTCCCTGTCCCTTTCCAGCCTCTATCCGCACAGGACCCCCATTCCCCAACCCCCCACCATCACCCTGCACTAACGGAGAACTTGGGGAGATGGTTAGGGGGGGAGGGGGGCCATGCTAGGTGAATGTAGTTTGAGGTCAGGGTTGCTATGTGTTGACTGTCTGCTTTGACACCATTGCTGGCTGAAATCACATGCAGACATTTAAGGCACCACTTCACAGGATCACTTTTTGTGCCCCTTACATCTCATTCTCCTTACCCTTTTTTCTCACAGGTATGAATTTTCATTTAATTCTAACAAAGTACATAGCAGTTATATGGAATCCCAGCCATAATTTCAAATATACATGTACCTTTTCCAACGTTTGCATACAAAATCATTATTTATTATTATAGCTGAATATGTATTAGTTGAAACTATTCAACAGTTGACAAATTGGGGACGTTCTCACACCCCTTCTGTCCCCAGTAGAGCATGGAAATTGCTCACTGATGCAAAACATTTAGCTGGTGTTTCCATGTCCCATCCTAACCTTACCCTAGAGTTCAACAACTCTAAATATTGTCCCTCCGCCTTTCCTTTAACAGCACCCCCCACCCCTGCTCCTAATTGGGTGCCACTTGTGCACACTGGTGACCCAGAGCACCCCATCTCCCCCTGTGCTGGGCAGCCCAGAGGCTCAGGCTCTCCGTGCGCCGACAGCAGGAGTGTAAACAGAGCTGATGGTTTCTGACAGATCTATTCAGAGTGAAAATCATTTATTCTTTGGGCTTTTTTTTCTGCCTTTGCTTCTTTTCATGGGACCCTAACAAACATAAAAAGAGCTGTCCATCTAATACCAGTATAGACAATGTAAATAGCAAAAATCTACCGCAAGACCTCAAAGAATTTGATTCATACATTTCTTTTCATCTTGATATATTTTTTATATCAAGCTATATATCATATAATAATACCTGTAGTCCTGTGGAGATGGATGATGCCCAGCATTGTCAATTATTCCTGACATCCTGGAAGTTATTCCACCTTCTATCATCTCCTGGGGTATGTTGCAGCTTTTCCTGTGGTACATGTCAGATGTATGATTAAACTGGTCTTTTAACTGCAAAATAACAACCTAAGCAGAACTAGTCATATCACAATATGCAGCTCTAATATACGTATACTGCAAAAACGACAACAAAAAAAATGTAGTATTTCAAGTTACATAAAATACAAAGGTAACATAAAATAGAAAAAAATACAAGTAGATCAGGAAAAAATGAAATAAATAAAAAGGTGTTTTAAAACTTCATTTTTTTAAAATAAGGTATGACAAAACATTTCTATCTTCTATCTTAAGGCTGTTTTGTAATTCCACCTTAATGTCTTACACACAATACAGAGAATATATATTATTTCATTACTGCCAACCTTTCTATGAAGCAAAATTAATTATGTTTTTCATTACTCATTTAAAAGGATAAAAAAAAACAAATTTACATCCAAAAATCACTTGTTTCCTAAAATATAGAAGCATCAGTTGGAATAAACCTACCTGTTTTGGTTTATATGGGAGATTGTGGGAGCTGGTCCTGAGCCCTTGTACTGTAATCCTCTGTGCTGGACCCGATTCCTTCAAAAACCGTTTTTAAATTTCCCTCTCTGGAGCTGTCCAGCAGTCTGACATGCGCAGTAGAGACCCGAGCAGGGCGCACTTGCTGCCAGTAGCAGGAGGATCCCGGAGAATATGACAGCTGTTACTGCGTAGTTTTTTGGACTTCACCTGCAAGCTCAGAAAATCGGGATGATGGCTGTTCCTCCTATAGGCACCTGGTGTATTCCTTACTGTTCACCTGCAGCATACTGTACAAATCACACGTTTTTTTTTTGCATTAAGATTCAGACTTTCATAATCCAGAAAAGCCAAGTCCTCTCAGGGTAAATGCTTAAACTGGAAATTTATTGCATGTCATAGCTTCCCAGTTCTTTACATTACCCGTGCGCTATGGCGCACAGGTGCGTTTCAGTGAGAAAAAATATCCTCTACTGTTCCTCTCAATCCAGCTGAGTATATTTATGCAAACCAGGTCGTAAGATAAAGTGCATTTAGTTTATTTCAAACTTGCTATCCAGAAAATCAAAGAAATATCCCCCAGTGAAAGAAAATGTAAAATAAAAAAGGCCTGCTGATAAAGTATCCGTGGTGCGCGTCCACATGGTTCTTCCCTGCAGTTACTTCGCTGGGCTCTGAAATGCTGTGAGTCTTAACTTGTCTGTGTGTGTGAACTTTTTTTTCTCCCTTTTGAGGAAGTGCTTGTAGGTTATTTGCTTCCCGCCTCAGATGCCGCGTCCTGCTCCTCTCAGCAGTGGGAAAAAGGAGCCCAGGAGGCGCGTAAAGGGAGGGCAGGGGGTAGGCTGGGCTCCTGCTGCAGCAACATAGCGTAATTTCTTTTTTTTTTTAAATATCAATGTCTTTTTTTGGGGGGATTTGTCTTGGATTAGTTTAGAATAAGCAGTCGAGAAATATGCAATAACCACAAAAAAGAGGAAAGATAATAAAAAAATAAACAAATAAGGCCTATAAGTAAGAACTATTGAACTGATTAAAGTAAAGTTGGAAGTGATTTCTTGGTTATTATTTCAGTCAACATGTTAATATCAATAATGTTGGGGGAAAACATCTACTTTAAACTTTATAAGTCATGGAATAAATCTAAAATCTATTAACCATAAAATAAATAAATGCACCAAACCAATAAAATCCCTGTTCAGCACTCAGATGGTGCAACTTGTTTTGCCTTTTAATGCCAGCTCAAATCATGAAACCAGTTTGTGGTTAAACTGCGAGTGGAAATTAGGGATAGACTGCACTATCAGCACTATCAGTCCCATGGGACCCTACAGATGGCCTGTGACAATAGGCACAATCAATGATTACATGCATGAAGGTAACGGACAAAAACAAGACCATCCTCAGAGGGGGGATCCTGTAGGTCCTAAAGCCCGTGGAGTTGTGATGTGCTCTTTAACTTTGTGGAGAAAAATAAAAATAAATGATGATGATGACGATGATGATGATGGTAGTGTAATTTAGTTGACAGTGTGACCCCGAGTGAGGAGCAGGACAATGACACAATGGTAAAAAACAAGCAGCTGGTGGTGGCCACTATAACAGAAGCCCTCAACACATCCACAGTGATTCGTTGATTGATGATGACGGCCATATCAGTACACAGCCCTAACCCTAACAGCAATAATTGTACAAATTTGTTTTAAATTGCTATATTTATTTAAAGACCAAAATGTACCTATTTGGTAATCTGTGGATGTTCTAACATCGCCTTTTAAATTCAGGGTATTCAGACAGGATGTTAGGGGAAGTTTTTTTTGTAAACTATAAATCTAATTGAAAAGGACAGCACTGCTTAATTGTTGAACCTTAATTTAGGTCGGAATCTAAGCAATTAATTTTATTTAATTTAACTAATTGCAGAAACGAAATATTCCTACTGAAAATCTAAGACTTTTGACTGTTTCAGCACAAGTTGTGTTTAATGTGTGGAAATACTTTATGCACATGTTTAAAATGTTCTTGTTTGTATGTTTTGAAGGCTCCTTTAAAGACGCTCATTCTTATTTATTTTTCTATGACTCTTTTCCAGCCTCTGTCTGTGCATTGCGAGTATATTTTTAAGGATGTTTCAGAATTTTTTTTTTTTATTGTGATATAAAATTAATTAAGACTTGGTTCTTGTATCATGTTTTACAGACATTTTCTGTATTTGTTTTAGATGACTTAATGGGATTTTATGTTTTATAAACATAATGCCAAAAATTTACGTGGTCTTTAGACTTTCTTCATATATTAGTATGATATGAAGAAGCTTTGTATACAGCCCCAACAAGTCAGAGCTTTATTGAACCACTTTTCTCTGCAAAAACAGTAACACTTCTACGCTTTTTATAGGAATTTAAAGATCAACTTCAGTGAAAGGGGACAAAACTTAAAACTGGTATTACACAGCCCAAACACTTAAAAAAAATATACACATGGACCAAATTGCTTAATAAAAGACCAACTCACAATGGCATAAATAACTTAAATCTGACAAAAGTAATAATAATAAAAGTCTATTTAAATTAACAAAAGAAAGTCAGACATTGCTTTTCAGTCATGCTTCAATTGAATGATTATGAAAAATAAACCAATAAAACATGACTGGACAAAACTGATGGCCCCTTAAACTCAATATTTAGTTGCACAACCTTTTGAGGCAATAATGGCAGTCAAATGATTCCTGTAACTGTCAATAAAAACTTCTGTTCCTCTCAGTAGGTATTTTTATCACTCCTCATGAGTGGATAAAAAGATGCTCAGTAGGATTTAGGTCAGGGTTCATAGAAGGCCTCTTCAGAATAGTCCAATGTTTTCCTCTTAGTCATTCATGGGTATTTTTAGCTTTGTGTTTTCGGTCATTATCCTGTTGCAGACCCATGACCTGTGACTGAGACTAAGCTTTCTGTCACTGGGCACATTTATCACTAGAATCCCTAGACAGTTTTTTTTTTTTTTTGGATCCTGCAGAGATGCAAGAGATCCTGAGCTTGATGAATCAAAGCAGGCCCAGGCCATAACAGAGCCTCCTCTTTGTTTCACAGTAGGGACAGTGTTCTTTCCTTGATATGCTTCATTTTTCCTTTTGTGAACATGGAGCTAATGTACTGTACATTGGTGCATTAGCTGTTAATAGGTCATTCTCATAGAAGCTCTGTGGCTAGTTTGGCAAATTCCAATCTAGATTTTTATTGATATGTTTTTAACAATGGTGTCCTCCTTGGCTCAAACAATGACAGATGGTGCTATTGGACACTGATGTTCATTGAGGTTGAAGTTCACCTTTAATCTCATTAGAAGTATGTCTGTGTTCACAGAAACATCAAGGTCCTTGGGGATGTTCTTCTATCCATAACCTTTTTTTGTCTTTCTTTCAACATTGTTTTTCTTCTTGGCACTAGGATCTGTTGTCCAGTTTGTAACCTAATTCTGAGCAGACCTATATGCCATGCTCCTTGGTTCTTCATGCCACTGTTTGTTCAGTTAGTAGAACATTTTATTTTATTAGCACTTTAAAAGCATATCTCGGATGTTCTCTAAGATACGTCTGCAGGCTTAACAGAACAGCTAAGATTGAATTACAGGCTGCTGGACTTTTTCAAAAAAAGTTAGATGTGAGTCAGTTGGTGGTATTGGATTTTATTTATGGGTATTAGACTATAAAGCAGCTATTCTACCTGCTGCTCTGTCTGCTCCGTCCATTACTCCATTTTTAAGTTATGTGCTAATTTTTCATTGGTATATCATATACAATAAATCTAAGATATGTGGCAAAATATGTTAGCTAATGCTTTTGTTAAGACACTGCAGTTAAAGTTTTGATTTGCAGTTTGTTTGACTAAAAACATGGGCAATACTGATAAGCCAAGTATGTTTATTTTAGCATTTAGCTGCATCAGAGTTGTTGCAGTTATTTTCATTGATTATTTTCATCATTGCACAGCATACATGTCACATTTGTCTCAAAAAGGGTATTTACTGTAGCATGGTTTAACGTCTTTTTAACTCAAAATAGCTGAGATATTTAAAAAGAAAAATTAAAGGTAAGGACACATACCTACAATTTTTGTATGTTTTGACTTTTATGGGTTTTTTTCTGGTATGTTAAGTGAATCATCAGATGAATTAAGGTAATAAAAAAAAGCATTTATTTTATAAGTTGTAAGAGCTTCAGTCCCATGTTTCATCCTCACATTTTAAAGCCAAAGCCTCTACATGCAATTGAAAGCATTTTTTAATTTTCTGCAGGGACAGTAACATTAATCTACATGTTCAGGAAAATAAAATGACTAGTGTTATAGAAATATTTATTTTTTTCTTTTTGCTTTGTTTTTCCCTCACAGGATTCCCTGCTTCTCATAGGAATTAAACATCGCTGTTTTGTTTCGAGCTTTTTAAAAGTGTCTACACCCTTACACAATGAGAAACTTTGTGAAAATACACATGGGATACTTTTTGCAAGATGTTCGTTTTCTATTGAAGATAATGTAGTTTACCTGAAACAGTGTGGATTACTATTCCAAACTTGCAATCATGATGTTGGTGAACCAATCAGATGTTGTTCAGAGCACATCTGACTGGGTCACCTGACAGTGAAATACAGCCTCTTAGAGCAAGAGTAGTCCCTGAAAATCTAAAATAATAAAAATAAAAAAAGATGTGGCTCTCATCTCTCCAGACTCTTCTAGGGTAAAGGGGAAACAATGGTATCACCAACTAAGGGTTGGCTCATGTTTGCAGCCTGTGTTTTCATCTTGAACCAAGTGTTTACTCACAACACACCAGCTCCTCTGAGAATGAGGTCAGCCAACCCTTTAATCGCCTCAGGGCAAAAACCCAGTATCCCCCCCAGAAGAGCTGCTCACCTAGAGTGACCCGATGGCCATACAAAGGAGGAGGCTGTCAGCCATATTTAGCTGAAGAGCAGTATGTATTGCATGTATCCTTTCTTTCCAGGCAAGACTGAGGTGTTTTCAGGAC